GCTCATTTTAATTTGATCTGAAGTGGAGGAGCTGGAATCTCATAACATCAGTTTACAGAGAGAGAGGGATGAGGTGAGGAGGACGAGAAAGGAGAGGCGGCTGTGAAAGAGGAGGAGAACAGGAGGAAAAGGAAAGAGTGAGAAAGATGTAGATGAGGTTAAAGCCGCAGGGGGAGAAGAACAGAAACCAGGACAAGTGACCGCAGAATACTGTATCAACACACTCACACACACACACACACACACACACACACACACACACACACACACACACGCACAAACACACATACACTCACACATGCACAGATGCACACACACTCACTCATGCATGCACATACACACACACATGGACACACTCACACATGCACACACTCGCATATGCAAACACACACACCGTCGCACATGTACACACACGCATATATGGACACACACACATGCACACACAGATACGAACACATAAAAACACAGACACAAACAAATGTATGCACACACACATGCACACTCTTACACATACACACACACACACACACACACACACAAACACACTCATGCATACACACATACGAACACACACAAACACACATGTATGCACACATGAAAACACACAAACACACTCACACACATATTTACACACACACACACACACACACACAAGAACACACACAAACGCATAGGCACACAGGAAAGTACAAGCACACTCACGAACACACACGCATGCACACACACTTTCGAACACATAATAAACACATACACAAACACACATGAACACACAAATGCAGATGTATGCACACATAAAAACGCACACACGCATGCACACACTTTTACACACAAACACACACATGAAAACACTCACGCACACACAAATACACACACATGTATGCACACATGAAAACACACATAAGCACATTCACAGATGCGCACACATGAAAACACACAAAAACACACACACACACATATTTACACACACACACACACAAACGCATATGCACACAGGAAAGTACAAACACACTCACAAACACACACGCATGCAAACACTCATTCGAACACGTAATAAACACATACACAAACACACATGAACACACAAATGCAGATGTATGCACACATAAAAACGCACACACGCATGCACACACTTTCACACATACACACATGAAACACTCACACAAACACACACACACACACATGTATGCACACATGAAAACAAACACAGTTACACACAAATGCAGTGACACACAAACACACACACACTTACACATACACATGTACAGTCATAAATACAAACACATAAATACACATGCACACACACACACTCACTAGCAGATACACACACTCAATGACTCTTGTTCACACGCACAAACACTCACGCGTGCGCACACTCACACACTCAGGGCAGCAGTGGAGGTGTAATCTGTGTTATGTAATAAATCTAATTAAATAGAGCGGTGTCATCTATAAGGACAGATGGCTCACTCTGCCAAATGAAAATAAAACCACACACACACACACACACACACACACACACACACATACACACACACATGAGTCATGAATATCCCTTCATCCTGATTCCACCTGTTCAAACATCTCTTATCTGCGCGGATCTGTCTCCGCTTTCCTCCACTCTTCACAATCCAGCACTTCACACACACACACACACACACACACGCACACACACACACACACACACACACACACACTCACACACACACGTTTCATTTACTGTACACTGCTTTCTAGATACTCAACTGAATCTAAGCCTGAACTGTAATTATGTTCATATATGCAATGACTCGAGACTCACAACTAGTGACGTACTGTATGATTAAGACGTGAGGCCTTTAGCATTGAAAAGAACTACAATCCCCATGATGCACTGTGTTGGATTTTTAATGCAATAACACAATGTATAGGAGGTAATAGTTGAAAAGTGGGTGGAGCTTAATTTATATATGTTGATATGCTAAGGGCGCCGCAGTGGCGCAGTAGGTAGTGCTGTTGCCTCACAGCAAGAAGGTTGCTGGGACGCTGGTTCAAATCTTGGCTCAGTTGGCGTTTCTGTGTAGAGTTTGCATGTTCTCCCTGCGTTTGAATGCGATACAGGTGAACTGGGTAGACTAAATTGTCCGTAGTGTATGAATGTGTGTGTGTGTGGATGTTTCCCAGAGATGGGTTGCGGCTGGAGGGGCATCCGCTGCGTAATTACATGGTGGATAAGTTGGCGGTTCATTCCGCTGTGGCGCCCCTTGATTAATAAAGGGTCTAAGCCGACAAGAAAGTGAATGAATGAATGTTGATGTGCTTTTCAAAAAAAACTTGGCTCTTTTCAAATCTCTGATCTCTGATTTTTGCACAGACTCATGGGAAATGTAGTTTTTTGTCTGCATTAATGTTGCTATTAGATTGAACGTGTTCAGTATGGCAAAGAACTACAATCCCATGATGCACTGTGCATGATTACATTAATAAAAATAATACATTTTAGGTTTATTGCAATAATACAATTTATAGCAAGTGAATTTAAAAAGTGGGCGGAGTTTAATATATATTTTGATGTGCTTTGCGCTTTTCAAATCTGATTGGTGGAATTTTTGCACAGACTTATGGGAAATGTAGTTTTTTCTGCATTAATGATGCTATTAAGCTCAGATGTGTTAGAAATAAGTTGAATTAATGTGAAAAAATCTTTAAAAAATAATAATAATAAATCATTATAAACCAGCCAACAAATAAATAAATAAATAAATAATCAAATACATAAATACATAAATAAATAAATAAATAAATAAATAAATAAATAAATAATCAAATACATAAATACGTAAATAAATAAATAAATAAATAAATAA